CGGCGGCGTCGAAGCGGCGCAGGGCCTCGCGCGCCGCGGCGGCGGCCTCGGCGTCGCCGCCGGCGCCGCCGCGCGCCGCGAGGCGCCGCCGCCGCATGACGTCCGCGGCGCGGCCCGACGGCGCGGCGGCGGCGCCGTCGCGCGCGAGGGCCGCGGCGACGGCGTAGACCGACGGCCGCCGCGCGTCCGGGGCCTCCGGCGCGGCGCCCCGCGGCGCCGCGAGGCTCCGGGCGTAGCGCTGGGCCGGCCGGGCCGGAGGCGCGCGCGCGGCGCCGCCGAGGTAGCCACGCGCGAGCTCGAGGAAGTCGACGGGCGCGGCGGACGCCGCCCAGGGCCGCGGCGCGTCCTCCTCGGGTACCGGCGCCCACGCGCGCCGCGCGTCCCGCGCCGCGCCGCGGGCGACGCGCGCGCGCCGCCGCGACGTCGCGCGCGCGCCCGTCGTCCGCGGCCGCGGCGCCGCCCGGTCGCCGTCCCCGCGCGTCGTCTCCCGGGCGGCCGCCGCCGCGACGCGGTCCGCGTGGCGGCCGTGGCGCGCCGCGCGCGACGCCGCGGATCGTTCGGCGGCGCAGTTTCCGCAGAACCAGTCGCCCTCGGGGACCTCGAAGAGGCCCGCGCAGCCCACGTGCGCGAAGCCCGCGCAGCCCGGGCCGCCGCCGTCGCAGATGAGGAGCTCGCCGCCGCCGCGGCACACGGCACAAAAATCCTCCTCCTCCTCTTCTTCCTCGTCCTCGTCCTGGGTTTTAACGCGGCTCACGCGGCCGTCGCCGTGGCGCACGGCGCCGAAGGGCGCCTTGCAGAGCGGGCAGAGCGCGCAGCGCGCCGCCCACTCCAACAAGCAGTCCGCGTGGAAGAAGTGGCCGTCGCAGCCCTCGGGCCGGCCCCGCTCGCCGTCGTCGTCGAGCTCGTCGAGGCAGATGCCGCAGACGTCGCCCTCGTCGTCGGCCGCCGGCACCGGCGCGGGCGCGGCCGGTGGTGCTGCGGGAGCGGAGGCCTCCATAAGCTGGCCAGCTCCGCAGGTCTTTCAGGTTGTTGTTGAGCTGCTCTTTCAGGTAAACTTAAAAACTTGGGCAGCCTCTCCGCGCTGCGGCAGCCGCAGCCAGTCGCACCCAGCCAGCCTATCGCGCCGCCAGCCGCAGGCAGCCAGCCCATCGCGCCGCCAGCCGCGCAGCCAGCCCATCCGCGCCGCCGGCCGCACGCAGCCAGCCGCCATGGAGTACCTCATGAGCTCCATGGGGTCGGAGTCGCTGGAGACCGAGTGCGACAAGGCCATCGAGATCCTCAAAATGATGGTGGAGACGGACACGGGCTGCGGGCCCAAACCCGAGGTCCTCAAGAACGCCGTCGGCTTCGCCTTTTTGCGCATCACGAAGACGGGCCTCTTCGTCACGGGAAGCTACGGCACCGGCCTGGTGGTCATCAAGCTCAAGGACGGCAAGCCGTCGAACGCGGCCGACGCGGCGTGGACGAAGCCGAGCGCGATCTCGACGAAAAGCGTGGGTTCGGGCCTGCAGGCCGGCGCGCAGGTCTTGGAGACTTTGATCGTCATCAACACGGAGGACGCCGTCGAGGCCTTCACGGGCGGGTCGCTCATGCTCGGCACGGCGCTGGAGCTCGCCGCGGGGCCCGTGGGCACGGGCGGCGAGATTCCGGGCATGACCGGCGAGGGTCTCGTCGACGTCGTCCCCTGCTACTCCTACGCGCTGTCGTCGGGCTTGTTCGCGGGGCTCAGCTTGGAGGGCGTCGTGCTCAACGAGCTCTCCGCCGTGAACGCGAAATTCTACGGTTCCGCGGTGGACGCGCGGAACATTCTCGACGGGACCGCGGACCTCGCGCCCTCGGCCGCCGTCGACAAGCTACACGCTGCTCTCGCGGGGCTGGGGGCGCTCTGGGACAAATAAGGCGGGGTCCCGAGGAACGCTCGGGCATCGAACAAAGGACTCGCCGCGGTCGCCGCGCGCGCCCCCGTCACGCCTTGAGGAACAGCCACGCGATGCCCGCGACGCCGGCGACGGAGAGCCAGGAGTTGGAGCGGAACGCGCGGTAGGCGACGTAGGCGGCGGCGGCCCAGGCGCAGGCCAGCGCGGGGAGGAGTCTCCGGCTCATCGACCGGGCGACCTCCGCGTCCGGGTCCTCCACGTAGCGCAGCGGCTTCCGCCCGTCCACGTAGCCCTCGCCGCCGCCCTCGTCGATGGGCGGCAGCTCGACGAGCGCGCGGGCGACGGGCGCGAGCGCGAGCAGCGTCCATCTCAGCAGCCAGCGGCGGCGCAGGGCCACTAGCGCGGCGGCCATCGATGCGACGAGTGTATGTGTTGTTGTCGCGCGTGCACGCGCGACGACTTCGCAAAGCGATGTCCGACGACGACTGGTTGCGGCGCGTGTGAGCTCCAGGCAGCCTCGATCAGGCCATGCTTGCGACTTCAGAAGGTAAACAACGCCTTCAACATCGACCGTCAGAGAATACTG